TAGGGGGCAGGGCCAGGATGGCAGGCCTGGGGGATCGAACCCCCCGGTGCCTGCTTGCAGGCTCTTTAATGCTATTTGGCTGGCCCTTTTTGGTCTTTCTGAGACAGAGTCTCACTATGCAATTCAGCCGGCCTCGAACTCATTTTGTAACCCAGACCAGCCTCAAAGACACAATCCTCCCAACTGCTGGGATTACAGGCGTATGCTCTCACACCTGGCAGCAGTTGTTCAGTGTACATTTCTGCAGCATTCCTGTTATTGTGCAAACACTGCTGTTACCTATTTTTAGAACTTCTTCCCAAACTGAACTCTACCCATGACAACATAACTCCCCGTTGGCCCAAGCTCCTGGCAGTCAGCGTCCTGCTCTGTGACCAGTGTGACTGCTCCACACACCTCACCCTGGCTGAACCACCGAGTATTTGTCTCGGTGAAGGATTACTTAACACTTCCCCTCTGGTGACCCCTGTTCCTTTCCGCCCCTCACCCCGAACTCCGACCCCACCCACCGTCTGTCTCCCCAGGGCTCCAACGCGGTGTCCTCTGCTCTTGGGGCCTGTCTGCTGCTCCGCGTGATGGCCCGCCAGGAAACGGAGGCTGAGGAGGCGGCCCGGAGGAAGGAGCTGGCGGCCAAGTTTGAGAGCATGGGTGTTGGTGCGTGGGGGCCACGGCTGGGCAGGGGGCTGGGGTGCCCCGGAGGGGTGCGCCGTGTGTACCCCTGTCCCCCCCCAGCCTCAGCCGCTCCTCCCCTACCCGCTCACTGAGCCCCTTGTCCCCAGACCTCTTCGGGGAGTGCTACCGCAGCAGCGAGCAAAGGGCCTCCCGCCTGCTCCTCCGTCGCTGCCCCCTCTGGGGCGACGCCACCTGCCTGCAGCTCGCCATGCAGGCTGATGCGCGCGCCTTCTTTGCCCAGGATGGGGTGCAGGTGAGCATCTGACTCTGGGGACACCCCTTGGTCTTGGGCAGGCCCTCCCGAGGACTCCTCTCCTAAACCAGCCCTCCCACAGCAAAGCCCACCACCCTATATATCTCCTGTAGCTGGCTAAAGGAATTCCTGTAATTTCAACTAGAAAGTCCCGCCTCTCAAACCGGAAGTTCTTCTCCAACCCACCTTGGGGTCCCCAAGGGAAACCCCGTCTCATCTACAGTGCCCCCTTCCTACTGTTCTAGGCGACCCATTCATCTCAGAGGAAGCCCCTTTTCGTCGCCAGGAAGTCCTTTGCCCTGACGAGGTCCCTAGTTCTGGTTCTCAACAGTTAAAAGTGACTGCACTAGCTGGGCATGGCGGTGCAAGCGTGTAATCCCAGCACTCAGGAGGCTGAGGCAGGAGGATATCTGTGAGTTCAAAGCCAGCCTTAACTACACAGGAGACCCTGACCAAACACGAAACACTTCAGTAAAAAACCAAAACCAAAACCAAACCAAGGGGCTGGAGAGATGGCTCAGTGGTCTAAAGCACCTACTTGGAACAAGCTTGATAAAGCACAGGGACCG